AGGAGAGGGAAGCGGTGGAGAGAATGCAGGAGAGGTATTTAAGATGGATGTTAGGGGTCAGCAGAATGGTGCCAGGGTATATGATTAGGGAGGAGTTGCAAAGGGTAAAACTGAGGATAAGGGCGGGAAGAAGAGCGTGGAGGATGGAAGAGAGGTTAGCGGGTGGTAAGGGAAGTGAGTTGGCAAGAAGGTGTTGGGAAGAGATAAGGGAGAGGGCCAGGAGAGGGGGGAGATTGTCGGGTTGGGAAAGGGGGAGGCAAAGATTTTTTGGGGAAAGGGGGATGGGAGTAGAGGAGATGGAGGTGGGGAGGGAGGAGGGGAGGTTGGATTTTGGGGAACTAGAGATGAGGGATAGGGATGGGCAGAGGGAGGAGAGGTGGGAAAGAATTAGAGAGGCGAGATTTAATAAATGGTATGGGAGGGTAAAGGGGGAGGGGGTTCCGGGATATTTGAAGAAGGGATGGGCAGAGAAAAGGTGGAGTAGGATGGCAAGGTATAGACTGGGAGAGGGGGTAAGGGGGGGAGTATATTGGGGAGGGGAGGAGGACAGGAGGTGTAGAGTGTGTGGGAGGGAGGAGGAGACATGGGAGCATGTGTGGGAGGAGTGTGGGAGATGGGGGGCGAGGGGAAGCTGGCAGGAGATGGTGGAGTCGGTGCTGGGGGAGGAGGGAGAGGGGGAGGAGTGGTTGAGGAGGTTGGAGAGATTTAGAGAGGGGGAGGCTGAGGATGAGGGGGAGGGAGGTTGGGGGGAGGAGGGAAAGGAATGAATGAAAAGGAGAGAGTGAGTGATTGGAAGTATGAAAGGGAAAGTACAAGAGCGGATTGAGGAATTAGTAACGGTGGAAAAGCATGTGACGAGAAAGTCTACGACGGAAGCGGAGGTCCAGGGCGCGTGTGTGTGTGTGTACATAGAGGCGAGCGATATAGGTTTAAGGTTAGGTAATATATTGTAATGTAGTGGTAAGCGGAGAGAAGGAGCATGTAAGAGGTGTAAGACTGTAACCCTAAGGGGATCAATAAATTATCATTCATTCAACTCCGTTAGCTCTACGTTCGGCGTTGAGGATCGAACAACGTAATTCTTTCACTCTAGTGTTGAAATCGAGAATATGTTCACGCGGTTTCAGAAAAATGAAGCTTAATTCTCCGCGGTAGTGATCGACGATTTTACCAGACTCGAATGCATTATCTAGCAGGTCGATTAATTGGGACACGGTGTCGCACGGTATTTCTTCGACGGCGCAGTAGGCGCGACCCCGCAATTTACTGATTAGAAGACGCGTAAGCCTCCGTTCAAATAACGCTGGGACTCAGATGTCCCTGGCTCGGCGACAGGCTCGCCCGAATTACGCGAGGGACATATTTGTTTCGTCGAAATACGAGACTCCTTCTAACGCTTCGCGAAATGGTATACGAGGACTTGGATTTGTTTCGAGAGAGCTGAAACGTTGTGGGTATGACGGCGGGGACTCTGCCTTGGCGTATTCCATTTCGCTTTGCATTCTCTCAATTTCATTCATTAAATCTGTTACTGATGGCCGCGTATTGTCTAAATCAGTGTCGGTTTGGTTGACGGCCTCTTTACTTAATTCGGCTTCTTTGCTCGTCAGGTTTACGCGGATTTGTTCGAAGTCACGCTCCGTTTTTTCACAGTGCTGTAAATATTCACGTTTTTCCTGCTCTAGCGCGGCGCGTTCTTATCTAATGGCATTACTTTGTTCGTGCAATTGTGTCTCTTTATTAGATATGAGTTTTCGCGCGTGTTCAAGTTCTGTTTCGGAGTAGGCCTGCTTCTTTCCACGAGTTTCCATCGTGAGGACCCTTTAGCGGATCCCACCGCTGTCACCAAATTATGTTACGTCCCAGCGGGTTGCAGTCACCCTGCCGTGAAGAATAGCGCTTGAACCCTAGCACGGGATCAGATCGCAATTTTTCGGGCTAAACGAATCGCGTGATTCTACCTGGGGATACGTGCGATCAAGAGTAATCGTGATGGATTTAGCGCAAGACGAGTAGTGTAACCACCGTATAACCTTACGGTGAGTCGGACAGTCGCAGGCGTTAAATGTAGTTTCGCGCGCATAGAAACAATGTAGATAATGACTTACCAGTGGTCGTCCACCGCGCGGCTGCTCTCTGTACCCCTGGATGGCTCTCTCGGGGTGTATATCAGTTGGACACGGGGCAATTGGACACAGTCCAATCACAAGTCGCTGTTTCAAGGGACCCTACAAATGTCTCTAATCACACGGTGCTGTGATTGGCTGTGTCCAAATGCACCGTATCCAAGTGCACCGCTCCCGCTCTCTCGTGGTTTACGTGGATCGGCACCTCCTTGTTCTCTAGTTGCTGCCGACTCTGGAGAACCTCGTTTTGGATCGCACAGCGACATGTACGAATATTCAAATCACTTATAATTGACCGATAGGCACTAGGGAGGAAAACCGTACGTCGCGGTTTTGCTTAGGCGTAGGAGGAAATATGCCGTGTAACGATGTTCGAATAGGAGGGAGTAGAAATAGAATTACTACAGATAATATATTATATATATATATATATATATATATATATATATATATATATATATATATATATATAATGTATATTGTGTAATTCTTGATATATAATATGCTTACAAAGATATCTTAAGTATGGCTAGAGTAACGGAAGTGATGAAATAAATAAAATAAACTGTTTAATAAACTAAAGAATTATGCATTAGAATAAAACGCTCGTAAATGTTTAGAAATGTTAAAGATAACCTAAAATTAATTGCTTAAGAATTAGAAGGGAACTAAGATTTAGAATTAGTGATTTAGAGAAATGGGGTTTGAAGGTGAGGATTACCTTTGGACTTCCGATCCCGGCACCCGACTCTGACTGACTGCCTCGCCGGCCACTACTCTACTACTCCTGAGCTCTTGTGATCCCGTCTTTAGGAGGGGGCCTAAATGGTAGTGATACCATCTGAGATGCCTTCCTTTTGGGAAAGGAAGGTTTCGTACCTGGAGTGTCTCAGATAAAGGATTGTTTGGACAAGAAATTATTACTGGCTGGCGACCTGGTCGGTCGAACGTGACAAGTAAAACATCTTCTGAAGAACACAGTTTTGCTAAAAACATTTTAGTTATTAGCTTTTTGCTATCAACATTAGCTGCGTTCAGCAGAGAAAGCTGCTTTGCAACTGTTGTAAAATTCGTGAATCTCATTGGAGTATGCTC